GCAAACGGCAGGAGCGGGGCAAGCTGAGGTCGCGAGCACAGCTCTTCGAGCATGGCCTGTCGAGAAACATGGTGGAAAGCCCCTACGTCGGCCGACATGCCAGTGGTCCGGGAATTGCACTCGGTGGCGACCCGGAGGAGCTTGTAGAACGCCTCGGTCCCTGCACGGGTGCTGAGGAACCGGCAGGGCACGCATGCCGCCTGGAGGGCTTCGGCGAAGTGCTGTGCCAAGGATTGACCAGGCACCCGGCCATTCGGCTTCCGGAGCGCGACGATTCGACCCTCGGCCCTTTTGGGAGGGATGACATCCAGCGGCAGAGGCACGTCGTGTGCGACTTGGTGTGCTGGGGGAGGGTCGGTGGAGACATGCGGGGAAGGCAATTGGGGTGGGTGTTGGGGATGAGCGGCACTGCCTTGGATCGGCAATCGGGCAAAGACCGTGCCCAGTGCTGAATGTGCCACGGGCACGGACCGTGGAGGTGTGCAGCCGAAAGGAAGGCCTGAAAGCAGCACACCATACCGCATTGAGTTGCGAGCCGGACAGCCGGTCAGGCTAGGCGTTTCCCGGCAATTCTCCACTCCGTGCTTCCGGATTGAATCGCCTGCTCTGCCGCTCTGCTGCTCCTCAAATTGGAAGAGCAATTACGGATGACATTCAGTACTGCTCCTCATCAGGGCGTTGTGTCGGCTCTAGGGGGACTTGGCCAGCCAGCGCACCTGAAGATGGGTTCAGGCTTGGCTCGTTGGTCCAGGATGCGCATACCGGTGTTGCTGCACGTGGAACGTAAGAGGTTCTCTTGTTATGAGTCGGCTGGAACTGGTCGAAACCTTTCTTCAATTGCCTGCACTGAAACAAAGGTCAAAAGACGCTGTACCCCACTATCCTGAGCCTCTCACTGTAAAAGCAACAAACAGCAGCAACAAAATCCACAGCGAGAATTCAAGCATAGCAAGATACCTACGGGGGATTCCCAAGCTAGAACTCGCACACTACTCACTACAGGTTCCCGCCACATTTTTCCGAGTCGTGCTTTGCCAACTTGTCACTGGAAGTGAGATGCTCACGCATCGAAGCACTGGTAGACCTCGTGCAGCGGTGGTGCGCGCATGCAGCTGCAGACAGGTTCCGCTGGCTGGCCTTGAAAAACAGAGCGATAAGCCAGAGCACGAAGCAAGTGGTCGTGCAGAAGTACGCCTCCCACGGCACGGAAGCGCAGAGACAAGAACGGAGAAGGCTTGCCGTGCCCTGCAACTTTCGTTGCCCAAACCTGGAAGTCAGTCTGCAGACTGAAGGAGATGATCAGGGATAGGCCGGCACTGACGATCGCCCTGTAGTTCTCTCGACTGAAACTTGTCTTGGCTGAAGCAGTGACACCTCTTCGCTGTCCGGTGGACTGAGACTGCGGCCCGATCACGACAAGTGCAATCGATGCGCCCATCTCCTTGACATTCGGCTTCTGCACCTCAGAGAAGGTCAAAGGTTTCACGAAAGTAGACCAACATGTGGAGTACTACACCCCAATCTAGCATGAGGCCTGCACTGCACCCACGTTGCCCATGTCATCTTTCACCGGTTCCGGACGGTTGCGCTGCCAGTCAAGTGAGGATGGATATGAGAAAGCAGTGACAGTCACGGCTCAAACTTCTCTTTGCAAGCACCTGGTAGACGAGGCCCATGGCCGATGCTGCTGCGAGGCCAATGAAGTTTGTCGCTTGGGTGGGAACCTCATTCCACGTGACATCATCACCCGCTGAGATCGTCCGACAAAGATCAAGGAACGACTAAGGATCAGACGCACAGACCAAAAAGTGCAAATGCACCGAGAAGTCCACTGGCCCTGGCAGACTTCGGTCAGCGAGCGTTTTCCAAACGATGCAGCGACTGCCACACGACACTTCTTAGCTATTCAAGGAGTTTCTTCCAGTAACACAGAGGCTCCTTTTTTGAGGCATGCCTCAAGCGCCCAAGGACGGCGATGAGTGCCGGTGTTGCTGCGCGGTCTCCGACCACTCAACAGCCGTACAGGTAGTGCTGATGGGTAGATGATCCGGCCCTAGCCGCACATGGCGACCAAGGACAACCGCAACTCACCGTCGACTCCGTGACTACGGACGTGCCGCTGGAAGCCCGACGGGTAGGTTGTAAGATAATTGCAAGCGGCGATTTGCGCTGCAGTGGTTCTTCGAGTTGGCACAGGTGGCGCTTGTGGTTCTTCGCAAGGGTCCGATGAACTGCAAAGAAAGGGCACGTTCATTGTTCATGTCCTTATGACATCTGCGGAGTCTGAAGTGTCCATGGAATCTTGCAGCGGGCTTGCCCATGGCTCACTGCCTCGCTCATGGACCGAAGGCTCCTCGCTTGGCTCCGTTCGCTCCTGCTTTTGCTCCTGGAAATGTATTGTTATGTCTTCAACAGAATTCTCCTGTCGGCAGTATGTCACATCCAGGTGTTGCACGTCGCCCTTGGCAAGGCAATCACAAAGGCAGGTAGGTTTCGTGAAGGAGGTGACTTTGTCCTCCTTATCCTTTTGCAATCTTGCTCTCTTGGAAGGATCTTCGAAGAGGCTTGTTGGGAGCCGAGGCGGAGAGGATGTGTAGTAGCCAGGGAAGCCAAAAAAATGAATCGCCGGAACAGCTAAGAAGGAAGCATCCCCGAACAGATTCGAGTTGTGCTCCATCTTCTGCGGAGTCACGAGCAACTTTCGCGCACGACACCGCTTGAAGAGTCTCAACGAATGCTCGGCTGGGATAAGCCCATCTGCCTCACCATGTATGAACAGAGTAGAGCACGACACGTTGGCGATGATCCTGCTATTCGCGAACCTTTCTGTGAATGTCCACGCCGCTATTCGACCGACAATGCTCTGCACAGCTGCTTTTATGGAGGAGAAAGCAGACACTAAAATCAGACCTCCCACGGGATACTGTGCTGCTAGGAAAACAGCTGGTCCACTTCCCAGCGAGCGACCGAATAGGATGATCTGGGAATACCTGACACCGATCTCGTCCACCAGGAAGCGGAATGCAGTGAGTGCCACTTCGTAGACCGCATCTTCGGTGGGCTCCACGTGGTGGAGAAGACCATAGCCAGGGTATTCCACAGCCAGCACATTGACCTTGAACTGGTCGCGGATATGCCGGAGAACCGCAAAAGACATGCCCAGGTCCTCCGCGTTTGCATGGAAGAAGAGGATAACACTTGCCGCCTTTGGGGCTGGAAACCACAGGCACGGAATGCCCGAGCAAGTTGCCTCCACTCCACTGCGTTTTGGTGATATGACGGTATTCCACGGTATCCAGCAAAGGTTCCTTCTGTAGGACTGCGGACCATACGAAGGCCGTGGCGCCGGAAAAATAAATCTGTTTTCCAGGTTCTTCAGCATGTCCCGGCAACGACCACCATTCACGTTGGAACGGCGGTGGGCTGGAGCGTCAACACTTCTGGAGCCAAGGGCTAAGTGCGATGGTTGGCTCAGGACGAGACATGGATCATGACTCATGACTAGCATTCGGGGGGCGTGCCATCGGAAATGTTTGGTAGTCGGCGGCTCTATCATCTGCCGCACCCCAGGAGGCACGTAGCCAGCTACGTACTTGTGGAAGAGCCTGCAACGGGATGGAACTTGCACGTAGACTCGTGGATAAACTAGGTTCCTTTGTGGCCCTGCCTCCGCGGAGAGTCTCCGAGCTCCCGGAGACGATTCGCTGCCTGCTTGGCACGCAGTGCCTCTTCCTTCCTGGCAACATTGGCAACGAAACTGCAGGAACTTGAATGGAAATCCAGGCCCGTGCTCTGACAAAAGCTTCGTCATTATCCAGAGGTTCGCAGCTTCCACACGCTGCAGGGCAGCCTTTAATGCATGCAGCAGCAATACCGACAGGAAAGTCTTGTCTTCTCCACCTCGTCTGAGGAGTATTTCTTTCGTAACCGCGACGCAGCTTTTGAGACCTTTCGGGCGAGCACGTGGCAGGACGGGCTTTCTGAATCTGAGGACGGACCTGAGCCTTCGTAGCATCCTGGGAGAGACCCAGCGTTCGGTACCTCGCGAAGAATCGTTGCATCGGGCCCCCTCCCAATTCCAAATCCGAGGGCGGAGCATGCGCAACCATTCACGAGGGCTGAGGCGCTCAGCCGACCAGCTGAGAGGGTTGGCGCAGTTCCGAGCGAAGGAGATCCGTGCGACGGAGGACGTCCCGCCGCCCCGCCTGCTGCTCGGGGTGGTCCAGCTGAGGGTCGAAGCCGCGGCTAAAGGCGTCAGCAGCTGCGACTGGACCTCGAAGGCCAACCCTCTTTTGCCTGGCGGCCTGGCTTCGCTTCAAGACTTCAAGCACCAGGCTGGTCGTTGGCCACAAAACCGCGCGGCTCTGCCCTGACACAGCCGGGCGGCTATCACGACTCTTTTGGGGGGGGTTGAGGATGATGCCACCTGAGAAGGCGAACTTGGCGACACGAACGTCAGCACCGCGAGGCTGACAGCACCTCAAGATCTGCACAGCAAGGACAGGCAGTAGAAGCAGTCCTGCATCACGTCGTAAGATCAGCACTTAAAAGGCTCGAGGCTGCCAACACTCTGACATGCAACTTGCGCATCACCTGCAGCCGTGACCAGTGGCTCTAACAGGAACAGAACCTCAGCAAAATTCGCGCCATCGCAAGGCTGCCATCAATTAAGCCTCGCACAAACCCCCTTTGCCGAATGCGTGCAGAGCACGCATTCGGCATCGGCCCCAAGGCCAAGGCCTCCCAACTTGAAGCGCAGCGAACTTCAAATGCCTTGAAGCTACGTCACAATCTAAGGCACCAACCAGGGATGGCACAAAATCTGTCATCTTGGTGTGAACTCGAGCCCACCAATCAGGCTGCAGCAGATAGAAATCATGAGGCCCGAGTGCAAACGTTGCTGGATCGTATCAAAGCGGGCTCCATGTGAATCCTTCGTGTCGGGGAAAATGATCACGCGAGGGGGGTGCTGCCTCAGCTGATTTTCGGACCGCCGCATCTCAGCTTCCCCGCAAATGGGTCGCGGCTGGAGTGCCTCGAGACCACTACGAGTCTCCCAAGCTTGAGAGCACAAAAAAAATCCAAGCTCACGACTGCTTCCAGCCATGGCAGCCAGCTGGGCATTCAGGGTATCGACAGCGCCTCCTGAGTTGGCCAAAACAGCGACGTGAACTTCGGACTCTATAGAGGCCCCGGCTTCCAGCATCTGCTGTGGTTTGTACAGAGCACGATGCTGAAATGGTATACAGAACCAGCAGGTGAGCCTTAGACAAAGCTGCTTATACATCCTTATGCCATGTGGACTGGAGAGGTCTGGAAGCTAAGCCAAGGGACGTAAAATACCCAAAGCCAAGCCTCGCTCTTGAGCAAGCGCTCCTCCCAAAGAGAACCGAATTTGGCATTCGGCATGCTGTGCCGCTGTGACCGCTGTGCGCCGCTGTGCGCCGCTGTGGGCCGCAGCCCTGGAGGTCCGTGAAGCCACGAAGTCCGCTCAGAGACAGGCGGTGCAGCGCCACAGCGACTGCGGCAACCTGGGGACCTGACTCGGACGCAAAGACGCAAAGAGCCCTCCGCAAAAGGCGGCAGGGCGGCGCCCGGCCTGCCAGAGCCGCCAGCCGCAGCTCCCAGCTCGGTCTCGTGCTGGCAGCGCCCGTCACGGCATCCTGAGAGCGGAGCCGCCTTCCAGCACAAAGGCAGGGTCTGGGAGTCTAAGCTCAGGCTCCCAAAGACACACAATGACACACAGACTCAGGTGCCTCTGCAACGTCGCACACCTTCAGAGTCACAGAAGCCTAGAAACTGCCATCACTCCACTCTGTGCCAACTCCGAGGAGCCTGGTCTCCAAGAGATTGATCCTCTTGCGCAGCTCCAGTACCTGACTTGACTCGGGGGCAGGGGAAACTCGGGTCAGACTGCCAGGAAGAGCCTGAAGACTATCGCCAAGCATGGGAGAAGGATCTGCACGATCCTGCAGCAAAGGCCGCTGAAAGAGAGAATGGAAGATTGCAAGAACCCAGTAGGGGGCTGCCTCTTCACCATTAGGCTCTGCATGCAGCGCTTCAGGCTCCAGACCTAAAGCCAGAGAGGCAGAGAAAGCAGTGGAAGCTCGAAGGCACCGCTCACACAGCTCGAGAGGCCCGGCACTGGTTGGAGCGAAGAGCTTCAACTTCACGCCTGCAGCTGAGATCTGCACTTCAGAGGCTATCTAAGCTGTCACGGGCGAGCAGAAACCAAGAATCGATGTCCAGAGCACGTGCAGCAACACTGCTGCCAGCTTCTGACATTTCAAAACCAAAGTCGTCGTCTGCAGTCCGCAAAGATCATGCATACAACGTACCTCCGACAAGCCTTCCAACTGAGAATGCTAGATTTGCGACATCCAAAAAAACATCGAGATTGGTCTTTTCGGACCCGACAGCGAAACCCGCGCTCATGCGCTTGCGAGCAAGTGGTTGCCGCATATCGCAGCGTCGCAAAGCACGATGGCACGGGCCGACACGAGCTAGCACGGGCCGGGTGCATTGCAGGAGGCATCGAGGTTCGTCTGCCCTGCGACACTGGGCCCCTGCCTTGCAGCAGTCGCTTCGACAGCCGCGGCTTCGGCATTGACCTGCAAAGGATCAGCTGCAAACGGCAATCTGGCGGAAAGTGCATCCTCAGCCCACTGCTTGGGCTTCCTGCAGAGCCTCTTTGGACCTCTCAAAACCATGCAGTGACAATTCCTGCGAGTTGCTCAAAGCTAGGGGCTTGGAGTCACACTTCTGCAGCTGTAGTTGTGCATCTTGTAGTTCTCGCTCGGCCTCATACAGCTACGGCCTCTGTGTTCCAGCATTTTTGAAATCCTCTGCTGCGGGTTGCCTTGATCTGCTGCTCCCCCAGACGAAGCTGCAGCTCCTCTTGCTGGCTCGGCCGACAAACGCTTGGCATCGTGCTGTCGCAGGTTAGTCCAAAGTTCACATGAGACAGACGTCGTGAAAGTCCTGAATCTCCTGCTGGTGCTGCTCTTTCCGCATAGCTTGTTCCTCGTAGTTTGGATTGGCTCAAGCACGCATGCTCCAAGGAATGAGGATCCTCGCGGAAGAGATCCAGCTCAGCCTCATGGGCAGCCTGAAAGCCTGAGGGTACGAGGAGGCGAAGAGACTGAGACATCTAAGACTGCTCCGATGCGATGGTCACGGCCTGGCCTTGGAGCTCCTGAGACGTAACGGTGGGTTCTCATTCGGCCTTCGACTCCACAACGCAACACCGCATAATCCTTCTCCATGGGCTCGATCTGCAGCCGGCGGCTTTCCGCCTGTTCCTGCCGATATGCGATAGCAGTGTGCCGAGTGCCCATGTCTTCACGCAAGGCTCCGTGAGATCTGCGACTTGCAGCATCAGCGCTTTCACCTCCTGCACAGACGTGGAACATTCGGTTTGCTGGGCTTTTCACCTTGCTCGTTCAAGCAAAGGTGCGAGTAGCTTTCGAGAGGAACTAACCTAGATCATGGACCGGTCATCTTTAAGCGAGTCCACATGCCCTGACGTTTTTCTTGACGAAAGATAAACAAAAAAGAACCCAACCGCGACTTTGCGAAGATGACCAGCTGCTGTGACGAAAAGACCAAAGCAAAGCCAACATAGCAGGCAACTGTCATCGTTTGTAAATCCACGAGCATGAGTCTTTCTTATGTCAAGACAGAACCCCGCAACTGGATCTCGGGGTCTTCAGGGTTGTGATATCCAACTGAAGCAGAGTGCCATCGGATGTATGTTTTTGACCGGGGGCCCTGGAGTTGAGGACAGGGATGTTCATCCTTCATCCTTGCAAGGCTTACCTGCAACACAACGCACACCAGCCTGCTGTTGCTCCGAATACTTATCCTCTGCGGCTGCGGTCTTGGCTTGTGCTGCCTGGCGAATCACAGCGACAGCATGAACGGCGCTATTGAGGCAATCTTTGCGCATAATTTACTGGCACCGATGTTTGTTCTTGTCACGATCGACAACGGCTCTACAGCTTTGAGCCTAGACTTTAGATGTGTGCTTCACGGCGCGCCTGCACCGCAGCTTGGCTGGCTTCCTGTGTGGCTGCCAGCGCCTGAGGCGACGGGAGATCTTTGTTGCCGCACTCACACCTCATTCGCTCAACGCTCACCTGTCGAAGCTTCAGCAACTCCTCGTCAGCTCGGCTTGCGGAACTTGCATTGACGGCGCTGACCAACTCCTTTGTCAGATCTCTTTGGCATCATGTTGCTTCTGCATCTCACTGCACGAAGCTCGGCACATCCTTGTTCTGTGTGCGCAGCGTCTGCAACTGCTCCTCTGTAGAAGACTTGCGAGACCCTGAAAGAACTCAGCATCGGCTGCAGGTCGGCCTCCATCTCAGACAGTCGGCGAAGATTCGGCCCAGACTCTTTCTTCAGGGACTCCACTTGAGCTGACAACTGGCCACAGGCCTCCTGGCTGTCCTGCGAAGGAATTCAGGCTCTGCGCGTGCTCTTTTGACCTCCAATGACTATAGACTATAGTGATACCGTCTTCAGGAGCACCAACCGAACTGTCGTTCTCCTTGAGCTCGGCTGCCAGCTTTTTGCGCTCCTCCTGTGTGCGCTGCAGCTCTGCCTGCGATGCGTTGTCACCAGGGACCAGTTTTAGTCAGGCAGCCGCCACACCTGAAGAACCTGCACGGCGCCGGCTTTGGGCGCCTCGCTCAGATGAGGTGCGACCAAATCCAGAGCAGACAGCCATGGCCTCTTCGGAGCGAGGCTGCGGCGTCTCTTTGGCCACTTCCTGATGTGACACACAATGATACACGTGATAACTCTCGCCTAAGCCGAACATTGATGCTGTCCTCGCCGAGATCTTGCTGCAGTTCGAAGGTGAGGATAGCTGGACGAGGCATCTCCTCAGGGTGACAAACCTCGAAGGCTTTAATAACTCGATCTGTTGCAAGTCCTTGAGCCACTTTGCGATGACTTTGCGAGCACGCTGTTCTTCGAATTCCGTCTCGTACCTCGGGACCTGTTACAGGGTTTAGGCGAGAATGCACGAAAGCAAGCTGTTTAGACTCTTGAAGACCTTGCCTCGTAGCCGTCAATTTTGACAAGGCGATCACCAATCTCCACCCCGAGCCGCTCAGCCTGCAAAGCGCCCGCGACATCTGCGTTCAGAGTCCCAGACCGCCCGGACCTGCGAGCTCGGCTGAACAGCAACCACAAGGTTGCCCTCCAAGGTAAAGCCGAGAGGTCCGTCCCGAAACTCCACATCCTGCGATGGAAAGCTTCTTGCATTCACCAACCCAGGCCAACCCACCCGCCCTGCCGCCCTGCCTTCAAGTCGTCCGGTGGCGCTCCCACTGGATCAAAGGCCTGGGCGGCGGAACATCTACCACTGGGCTATGGGCTTGGCTATGAAGCCAATCAAGACTGAGCCTGAGCCAGATGCAACCGCCAGCTTTGAAGCAGATTGCTGCACAGCGGACACGTGATCTTGGGCCGCCTGATGGAAGCAGAAGCACGCCGACGGTCGACATATCCGTTCTTAGACGCCACAATCATTTCCGTCCGCCACTCCAACTCGGCCTGTGCCAATTGATCTGCCTTCGACTTGAGCCATGTCTCCATTGCATGATGCTTTTCTGCAGAGGATGCTTGACATTTACATAATGGAAAGCTTGCACCCCTTTCACAGGCGAAGCGTCGCAATTGAAAGCTCAGGCTAGCCTTGAACCGGCAAGCAACAACCATCCGAGCTGTCCGAGTGAATGCTCCGCTAGCACGACTGCGAATCTGTCGCGCATTTTTTGCTCTGCTCTCGAGGAGGTCAGATCTGAATCTGAACCAAATAAGCATCTGGCTTCGCCTGGGCTGCCGCTACCAGGCAGCACCCAATCCAACGCTCCCGCTGCAGCTGCTCCACCATTCCGAGTGTGCGTGCAACACACCGCGCGTCGAAGGTATGGCATCGCAGCACTTTCCCCCACTGAAAACGCCCTAGGCAAGCACCCATTTCTCCAGCAGCATGCCGCAGGGCAACTCGACAGCTGATGGGACTGACCATCCCAAGCCAAAGGAGGAAGCGCCAGGCCAGTGTGGAATGATGGCAGATGGCTGCCGTGCAACCCACATCGTCCAGTAAAAGAAAAGGTCGAGACCGCTTAGCCATGACCCTCAACAAAGGCATGAATTTCAGCACTTGGAGAACATCGTGCGGGCCGTCAAAAACAGTTAGCTCGCAGATCCCTCCGCCTCCTTGGAGCAGGAACGCTCGAATGCCGGGGTCCGCATCTCCCCAAACAATAGTCATATTGTTTGAAGGGAGCCAATCCCGAATCATCCTGAAAAGTTCCTCGTTCAAGCCAGGGTTCAAGATGGACCAATCGAAACCCACATAAGAGGAGTTGCTTCCAGCTCCAACAAGCAGTGTCAATGCTGAATGACCAGCATTGAAGCCAACCTCGCAGATTTGTCGTGGCGAGATTGAAGTTGCAACCTCGAACAAGAAATTGGTTTGCTCCAAACTTTCCCCAGAATGGCCAGACACCGCCCAATCACCATCAGATCCAGCAAAAAACGGTCGCCCTTCCGAATATGGTCTGCCGTCTCGTCCTGTCTTGCAGTATATCCCAGAGTTCAATCGGCAAATCCAATGCGAAAGGAATGTGTTGAGCACTGTGTGCAATGAAGCCAAAACCTTGCGAAGCTCAAAGTAAACATGGAACGAGTTCGTGCGATACAAACGCTGCACACAAAAGACTTACTGTAAGCCAATCTGCCGCGCGCTTTCGCTCCAGCTCACAATTTGATTCCAATGTTCCGACATGCCCAAGACAGCTGCCGACGGCGGCCGCAAACACGAAAGCAACCTTGAGCAACCCCTGTGTCATCCAACACTGGCATGTAGCGTGGTGGTAACTATGGCTGCGCATTCCCAGATACTTGTTTGGTGGAGTTGACATGGAGAACTCGAGACTGCTGTCATCGATCAATCATCGCATGTTGCAGCTGCTGACTGATAGCAATATGTGAACGCTATTTGCAACGAATGCGCCGTACATCTCATCTCCCATATCCCCATCCATTCCTTTCGATGCATTTGATACCTGACGGCTGTGACTTCCATTCTTGCTGGCCGAGCAGATGTTACACAATGCAACTCCCAAACCCATACTTCAAAAACCATGCCATCAAGCAAGTCAGCTCAATCAACCATCATGTGGACTGACCTTCCATATCCGACCACCGAAATTGTAAAACCGTAACATCGTACAGAAACTAATTCCTGGGCTCGAACCTCAGAAGAGACAAACCTAAAGATTTTGACGCTGCATGAAACATGTGTCCTTTCTCATCACTCATGCTTGCGCCATTCTCGTCTGTGATCTGGACAATTCCGCCCGCTCAATGCACCTGTTTGCGAGCGCCACGCTCGTTGAATTGTACAAGTTTACATGTTCTGCCAGACATGCTGAGTCCATTGCACATTGGCGAAAAGGTCGACTGATTGACCTGGCCATGTCGAGGTGTTTTACCACTGAGGTCGTAGCGGGAAGCCGTTCCCAAATGATCAAGATCTATCTGATTGCACGACCGTTTAGATTGGACGAATGTTCCCAAGAGTTTCGCAGGGTTTCGAGGCTGCACAAAACAAACTCGTTCAGGACGTCTCGTGACTTCGGGGGTGGTGTGCACGCAAGGGCCCGGAGCTTCGAAGCCGCGCCGACTCTGAGCACTCCGTGCTCGGCATCAGCGAATCTCTTCGTCTGGCACCGAAAACATGGACGCGAGCCAGCCTCTGGGTCTGGTGGGTCCGGTATCATTCGTCCAATGGCTCGAAGGCAAGAACCAGGTCTCGCCTTTGCAGGTGGACGGTTGCACTGTGGACTGGCAACGCAAGACAGCTGAGCAAACCTGCGAGTTACAGCCACAACGCTTCACAGAACCCCATGGCTTGCAGTTGCATCTAACAAACATTGCGCATGAAGGCAAGCATCAATAATTTGAGATAATTTTGCACAGAACGGCCCTTCCGAACATCTATCAGACTGACATTGCCGTGCAATCAAGTCAAGTCGAAGGCGAGAGCTGTCGAACTGCACCATGCATGCATCCTGGACTAGGAGGTGTTCGGTATTCTCTTGTAGTTACGCGTGTCACCCTTCTCCTGCTTACTCCTTCTCCGAATGCCACGGCCCTACCGAACCCCTCGCTAACATGTTCCGTCTCAGTCCTTCGACGTGAAGAAATCGGCGGTGTTGATCGACCGTCTCCAGACGGCCCAACTAGTCGGTGCTCCAGCCTCCGTTGCCAGATATAAAAACTCGGTCTGACTGACAGGAAACACCTTCAGTTGCCAGCAAGATGCAGATGCAAGCCCTCTTGCCAAACAGCTAGCTTGAATACTCACGAATCGCACGCTGCGCTTGCCTGACTTACCTTCGCGGACATTGCGGACGGGAGCCTTCAACCCTGATCCCTCCACCAAACCCAAGCAGAGTCCATCTTTTGAAACTCATGAAGCTGGCTGTGGGAGGCCGGGTCTCATCGTCCTTGCTGACGTCCTCTACTGGTACTTCAAGGTGCTCGCTCCGACGGCCGAGAAGGTGTGAATCTGATATCCTCGAGGTGTTGATTGCTTGTGATTCTTGTGATTCCCAGTCCTAGTCCAAAAAGTAATTGCCATCCTAGGCTCACTGTCATAACTATTTTTGTGCCAATTTGTGGTTGCGATTATCTAACCTGAATACTTTACTGCTCTGTTGTCATAGCGGAACAGAATGTCGTATGCCGATTAGTTCAGGGCAGTAGAGTGCAGTTCAGTAGTACCGCGTCAGATTCGTATGAGTCGTATGCTCTGGCATGGTTTTTTGCAGTGGTCTACAGTACGAGACCATGTCAAAGACTATACGCTAAGGCACGCTTCTAGGGCTCATACACCAGGTCATCTCTGGTTGAACTGAACTGTACAGATACAAAGCATGTGGACTCAGATGCAAAGCGGGAGACTCTCTTAGCACTGGCTCGCGCACTCAGCTTAAGCGAGGACTAGCTGGTTGAGTCTGTAGGCTCAGTGTTGACGCTATTCCTATGCTCGTTGCTGTCACCATTGCTGGGATCCTTTCCATGCCCATGTTTACTCTAAACTATACTGCAATTGAGGGATGTAGTGCATCATTGCACGATGCTTCACAACATTTCAATAAAGCAGTGGAAGCAGCAAGTACTGCTGGAAACAGGAAGGCCACACTGAACTTAGCCAAAGGGGCCGCCAAATGAAGTGATGGTCCCGCCAGTCATCACAGGGGTTGCGCTCTTGTACCGGACCACCACGATGCCCGAGCCACCTTTGCCGGCCACCCTGCTTTCGGGATCGGTGCCGCCGCCACCACCTCCCGTGTTGGCTTCTCCATCTGTTCCCGTAAACTTGTGCCAGTTGGCCCAGGACACAGACCCAAAGTCACTCCCCCTTCCTCCTCCACCCTTGCCGCCAGCTCCTCCGGCGCCATCGACTTTGTGGTTGCCATTTTCGTTCACACCGCCGCCTCCGCCTCCTCCGTACCACTTCAATGTTCCAGTGATGTCCGAGGAGACGCCATCTCCTCCCTTTCCGCCGTAGTGCTTCTTAGGGGCATCCTGCCCAGCCGCACCGGCACCACCTCCACCGCCGCCGGCACCATAGCCGGGCAGATTCGAGCGGCCTCCGCCATGGCCTTGGCCTGCAACGCCGGAGCTTCGTGCGACATTGAGACGATCAAAGCCTCCGCCACCACCAGAGCCTCCGCTGGCTCCAGGTTGTTCAATCTGAGAACCTCCGGCGCCCTGGCCTCCTCCTTTGGCAATGAGATCTCCAAGCTGAGAGTCGCCCCCTGCAGTGGCGACACCAGTTGCGGCCCCGTAGCCGCCGGCACCAGAGATTCCACCATCACCCACCACAACCGTCACGACCTCAGCAACACGCAGCCACAGCAAAGGCAAGTCTACAAGCTCAAAGTCCGGCCCCTACACTCTCCACACGGGCCCACCTTGCTCGTGTCCAGCGTCTGTGTGCCCATGATGACACCTCCGGCTCCTCCACCGCCCGATCCTCCGCCACCGCCGCCTGCAACAATCCTGAGCTCCGCTGCATGGGGGGCAAGCTTTTCAAACTCGTAGCATAGTGTGAAATTGTCAGGACTCCGAGAGCAGCAGCGGTGTGGGGCAAACGCGTGGTCATGGTAACCCTCAACTCTTAAACTTAATCCCATCAAATGGGAAGGAAAGAAATGGAAGGAGCACTTCCTGCCCCGGGAAGTTCAGAATATTCACCACCTCCTACCACTGCATATGGATGGGGCGTGGGGCTTCAAATTCCCGGCTCATTGCGCCGAGTGGCAGGTACTCGACAACCACCTCCTCAGCCATGATTTGGACTTGAACGTTGGCAGTTCAAACACTTACGAGTTACTAGTAGCAGCTGTGACGGGTGCTTATACGTTCAGGGCTGCAGGAACTTAGGTAGAAACGACTTGAGCGATGCAACTGTTGGATGCCAAGAGGCCGTGGAGCCACTGCCACAGCAGCTGGCCACACACTCCTTGGCGGGAGCCTCGGCGGGGAGGCTGTCGTACTGTGCAGAGCGGTAGCCGGCAGTGCCTGCAGCATCCGTTGGTACAGGGCAGCTGGGCTTGGTGGCCAATGTGGGCTCGACGAGCTTCAGATCGGCGGAGGCCTGCGCTTTGGTGTCGATGGCCTGGCACTTGTCAATGGCTGCGGGGCGGTCCGCCTCTGCCACGAAAAAGGCTTTGATGAGACACTCCATGCGTAGGAAGCCACGCCACTCCTTGCGCATCGACTCCAACTGGGTCTGGCCGGTGGAAAGGATGTTCTGGTGGTTGCTTGTTTGCTGCTCGAAGCAAGTGTCCATGGTCTCACACTTCGAAGATTGGGCCTCGAGGTAAGAGCACGAAAAGCCGTCCATGGCATCCTGCACGCTGTCGCAGTGCGCCTTCTGGCTCGTGTAGTCCGTATCGGCGTTGGCGCATTCAGTGGTCCTCGCTGTGAGCTTCGTGGTGGCGTCGGTGCACTGAGCGTCAGCGGTCTCCCACTCCGCCAGTTTCTGCTGAGAGGCTTGAATGAGACGACTGTGGAAAGGCTTAAACGTCTCACCGTTCTGGACGCTGATCGAGGCGCCGTAGCTGTAGATGCTCTTCTCCAAGGCCGCCAAGGCTCCGCAGGTCGTGTCCTTGCTCTCGGTGAGCGTCTTGATGTCAGCCGCACAGGCAGTCTTCTCGTCCAGTTTGGTCTTCTCGGATGAGCGGCACTGAGAGTGCAGCTGGCTCTTGCTGTTGAAGTCGTTTTTCAAATCCTGCGACTTCGTCGTGTGCTCATTCTGGCTGCACTTTGCCACGTTCGCCGCCGAGGTATCCAAGCTGTCCTGCCAAGCACGCATATCACACCGGAATTACCCCCACTTTCCCGTAATCATCCTCTAGGACTATTCTCTGAAATCCTTATAAGCTTATAAGCCTAAATACCCTTGGACCTGGATGTTCTGAACGTTCTGCAAAAGCGGGGGCTTCATTTTTTGGATCATCTCCGACATCTTCGTCACCAAAGTCTCCACGCTCGGGTCGGAATTCGTGCGGAACGCTGAAACGAGGAGATCCTCCATCCCCGCCAAGCCATCTGCGACACTCGTCTTGTTGCCTGGCCTCTCCAACTTCTCTAGGTTCTCCAGCTGGACAGCAGAGACGGAGCAAAGAGAGAACAGCAGCAGCACATGCGGCGCCATCTTCATTGCGAAGGCTGAGATCCTGGGGTGCTCAGGCTTCCTGATTGAAGCGAAAAGTCCCAGGCTGCGGACGGCATCACAAGCTGCAGAAAGAGTCTAAGATGAACAACAACGCAATGCCGCACCGCCACCTGTAGAACTACCTACCTTGGAAGGGCTCGGCTGACCCGGCTGACCCGGAAGGCCTCGCTCATCTTCCCGCTGGCGACCAAGGACACCTGCATTCCAGACTCGAGGAAAAAACGTTCCAATTCTGAGTAATCCGGAAAGTGTTATGTCATGTTGTCCTACAGGGCTCTCCCTGAGTGAAAAGCAGAAGCCGCTGAAGTGTCTCAGACTCTCAGGGGGCCTCAGAGCTGACTGACATTCCCCCGACAGGGCGCCTGGATCCATGAAGCCTTAAGCCACTTCAGCGTTTGGCGCCTTCAGCGCTGTCGCTTTCGCTATGCCATCTATGCACCCTGCCCAAACACTATGGACAGTCAAAGGGGTTCTGCAACTCAGCAGCCCCAGCATGAAGTCCAACTCTACTCGACTTATTGCCGGCTCCTTGCCGCTCGCGTATGAGACATCATCTGTCTGAAAGGAGGTGGAGAACTGATGGAGTTGGGGAAGACATCATCATCCTCCGTTGCACAAATCCGCACTAAGATAGGGAGCTGCAGCTCTTGACGCCGGGTCACGCCTCTGCCTCGCCAGCAGCAGTGGCAGTGAAAATGCCTGGGTATGCTGCGTGCCTCAACCACTGCCTGCCTGAACCCCAAGTGCTGATGCAGATGTGGTGCAACACAGCCACAGCCACCACAGCAACAGTGCAACACAGCCAGAGCACTGCTAGTGAAAAAAGGTTCATGCACTACACGTGACTGGCAGTGACTAGCAGCATTCTCGTGTCTTCCTGGCCCGCCATACGACCAAGAAATCACAAAGTCCCTGGCCTTGTCGGGTGTCATGACATCGATGAGGTCACGGCCTGACCAAAAAGCCCATATCAGCAAGCTGCAGGCAGCATCCTAAGCAGCGCGGATCCTGCAAGACTGGCGGCATCCTTCTTTGAAAGGCTGCCTGAACGGTCGGATGGCACAGCGCCAACGCTTGTGCTCAGTGCGGACTCGACTTGGGTCCCTGCCCATCTGAATCTTCGAAATGGGTCCGAAATGGGATCGAAATGGTATGGGATCGAAATGGGTCCGAAATGGGGTCGAAACGGGGTCGCAATGGGTCGAATGGGGTCGAATTGGGTCCGAAATGGGGTCGAATTGGGATCGATCAGTGGGTTTGGCGGGTCGGGACAAAGTGCAGTCGGCCTGTCAAAGGGCACGGTTTGTGGGTCAAATATTGTCTTCGAGGAACCACTGAAGATCCAATGCAAACGATGCACAAAAGGACGCAAAGCGTGCACGTGAACGCACGTCTCTCTTTCTTTCGCCAGGGGTTGAGGGTCTCTCTCTCTCTCTCTCTCTCTCTCTATCACTCTCACTCTTTTCCCACCCCCCACGCAAATGCTCTACTGGCACAACTTTGCCCAAGCCTTCCTGATCCGGCCGACGCAGCCGGCACCAGGATCTCGACAGCCCCGGAGGCTTCCCTGGCACACAACACGCATTGAACCACCATGAACCATCGTAAGCATCTGCCAGTCGCAAGTCCTGATGGAAGCTGAACGGCCTGGTCCAGCACGGCTCTTTGCACAGCAGCTGGCGCCTGGGAGTTGGAGCTGCCGTTTCGGTTTGGGGAATGTCGCCGACGAGCGGATGCAGGTCACAACTAAGCCAAGGATGGATGTCGCCAGCAAGCAACCAAGCGCAACAAGAACAAAGGCACATCTCGAAGGAGGAGATGCATCAAAATCAGGAACGGCAGGACAATCCAAAGCCAGACAAGGCCTCGCGACACTTAAACCGCAACAACACCAACCCTCACATGTCAACAAGGAAAGTGAATCCACCACCCCGAACCTATACTAAAATTGCATCACAAGGCGACCACAGGGCATGAGTTTCTACATGTGGCCAACGCAGCTTCAAAGCCGTATCTCAGGCAAGAACCGATGCTGTTCTGTTCTGCAAAGGCCGACAGTTCGTCGGTGGAGGGTGCCTCACAAGAAATCACACTGCCGATCATCGCAGTATGCTGCGCTACACAAATGCCGGTCGCCTGCAAGGCGTCCTCCGCAACGTGTGCAGATCTCCTCGGCATCACAGAGCTCAGTCGGATCACTTGCCAATAACCTCCAATTCGAAAGCTGAAACCACAAACATTGAAAATCGGGGCCCGAGGCACTGTGCCTTGGCAATGCGGCCGATACAGCCGGCGCTCGGCTCGCGACAGCCACGCAGGCTCCCCTGCTCGAGGACCTGAATTTCCGCACATACTGCGTCCCCCTTTGCAACAATCCACTTCTCGTCCGACCAGCGCGATAGCACATACTTTCGGTACGAACATGCGCAAAGTCGAAGAGCACCTCCAACAGCGTTGATGTCGAAGATCCACGAAGCCGCACCTGATCAAAGAGGCTGGGGCGGGGGGGGCTACCGGGAACGAGGATGCCCGGCTTTTCCGAAGATGGTGAAGATGACGGCGAGAACCTAGCCACGGGAAGGGTCCGGGGATTCCGGGAATGAGGACGGTCACCTATCCTACACCTACTCCTAGCAGTGCCTACCCAGACCTACCCTAACAGCGCGGACTGCACAACACTCCTACAAGCACCTGTCACCCGCAACCAGACCTGAGAGCGGGTGCAGACACCTACCCTACTCATGCCGTATTCCTACCGTATTCCTACTCAGCGGACACCGTCACTCCTGTGCAGGGCAGATGCCAAGGCAGCCTAGGGTAAACCGAAACGGTAGGGACTAGAACTAAACCTGCACACTCCCTTGCATTCACTCAAAAGCCCCGGCGCAACAACAAAAAAACGACGCGAGAACTACAACATGTTCCCGCCGTAACTCGTAATGATTGCCGTCACTTGTCTCTATATATTGTGAAAACATTTTTGTTTGCTGTTGCCACACATATTTGGGGACGATTTCGTCTCGCTTGGGTTCGACAGTTTCGTTGCGCTCAAAGTTTGCAGGCTCAGGTTTGCCTTCGCATCTACCCCAAAGCGAAATCACAAATAACATGTTTGTTACGGCTGGCTGAAGACATGAGCTTGCCCGGCCAAATCGGCAAAATCCAAACAAAAATCCAAACGCTATTCTGAAAAACTTGCAAAAATTCACCGCAACAAAAAGCAAACAAATATACCTAAAAATAAACCACATTGAATGCGCTGGAAAAACTTGAATTACACCAGCGTAGACCCCAACAGAATGCATCGAATCATGCAGGTTCAAGTTGGAACGTGTTGGGACCCAATCTGGCTTCACAAACAGACGCTGCGAAAAAATGCGTAGACATATCGACTATTTTTGTGCGAAAGAAGAATGGGTAGTGATGACATTCGCACGAGAAGGAAGCGTTCTTTTTTTGGAAAGAACGCCATGCTCCTTCTTGCAGGTTCAAGTTGGAACGTGTTGAAACCCAATCTGGCTTCGTAAGCAGACGCTGCGAAACAAATGTTTGGACATGTGGACTAGTTTGTACAAAAGAAGAACGGGTAATGATGACATCCACACGAAAAGGAAGCGTTCTTTTTTTGAAAAAGAACGCAGTGACCAAAAAGTTTTGTTTGCGGTGGGCACTCATAGTTGCACCGAGTATGCTCCTTCTTGCAGGTTCAAGTTGGAACGTGTTGAAACCCAATCTGGCTTCGCAAGCAGACGCTGCGAAACAAATGTTTAGACATATGGACTATTTTTGTGCACAAGAAGAATGGGTAGAGATGACATCCGCGCGAGAAAGAAGAGTTCTTTTTTTGGAAGAAAAAACGCCGTAACCAAAAGATTTTGCTTGTGGTGGGCACTCATAGTTGCACCGAGTATGCTCCTTCTTGCAGGTTCAAGTTGGAACGTGTTGGAGTGATGACATCCGCACGAGAATGCCGTGACGAAAAGGTTTTGTTTGTGGGGGCCACTCGAAAGGAAACATGAAGGGAGCCCAGTGGGAGCCCAGACCCTTTGCCGCGGCCCAGCCATCCAACCCAGAAGAAAATTTGATGGGAGCCCAGCCCTTTGCCGTCCAACCAGGAGCCCAAAAAGGAAACATGAAGGGAGCCCAATGCGAGCCCAGGCCCTTGTGCGGCCCAGCCGTCCAACCCAGGAGCCCAGAAAGGAAACATGAACGGAGTCCAAAGGCCCTTTGCCGCGACCCAGCCATCCAAAAGGAGCCCAAAAAGGAAACATGAAGGCAACCCAGGAGCCCAGAAAGGAAACATGAACGGAGTCCAAAGGCCCTTTGCCGCGGCCCAGCCATCCAAAAGGCCCAAAAAGGAAACATCCGTCCAACCCAGGAGCCCAGAAAGGAAACATGAACGGAGTCCAAAGGTCCTTTGCCGCGGCCCAGCCATCCAACCAGGAGCCCAAAAAGGAAACATGAAGGGAGTAGGGAGCCCTTATCCGCGGCCCAGCCGTCCAACCCTGGGAGCCCAGGCCCGTGGCTGCGGCCCAACCATCAACCTAGGACCTAGGAGCCCACCCATCCCGCCACGGCGGCCCACCTTTTTTTCTGAGGAGAGAACCCCACCAAACCGTACCTGTTTGGGGAAAAATTGCGCACCTATGGCAATGGTAAAAAGAGCCCGCGTCTAGAGCCGGCAATTCGATCTTACTTTACGAAACCATGGCAGCCATAGACTGGATGGCAAAGGACAAAAAGCCGAAGGCCTGGGCAGAATGAGGATGGACAATCGAATGTTGGACCTCATTCAAAACTTCTCCCAACACAGCTTCTCCTCCGAGCTAAAGCTCTTGGCCTGCTCTGTCCGTTCCCTGGTGCGTCAAGCAAACGGGATTTTGAAGAGCAGCGCGTTTCCAAACGCCAACGCTCAGATCAAGGCGAAAGCAAGGACCCAGAAGAAAATGGTCAAACCGAATGTGCTGCTTCAGTGCTTCCGACCG